TGGAGTCTCTCTAGGAAAATGATTTCAAATTCTCAAAAGTCCTTAACTCTAGCTTGGACTTTTTATATTGTCTTTTTTTTTTGCTATCACTTGCTGCCTACATGGCAGCCCTACTCACATGTACCTACAACTCCAAAACAGAACGTGTGTGAAACAAAGTATTATCGAACACTGAACTCTTTTCTTTCCTAAGTTTGCTACTCCTTTACTTTTCCCAGGGTCAGAGGCACTGGATAATCTCCATCCAACTGGTATGTTCCTTTCTGATGAGCCATTTAGTCTGTTATCAAGTCCTGCTGCTTTATCATCAATGATCTTGATCGCTGTCTTCCTCTATTAGTGAGTGTCCCTCAAGGGAAGGGACAATGTCTTAAGATCTTTGTGTTCCCAGTTCCTAACATTGTGCCCGGATATTTTCAAGCAGATGGCTTAACAAGTGTTTGCTGAGTGAATGAATTATTGCACGATTGGGTAGCCATCATTCTTGTTCCCCTTGGTCCTTATTCTCACTGCTCCCTTTGGCCACCTGAGTGTTGGACACTGCAGCAATATCCTAGTCACTACTTCCCTACCTCAGTGCCAGATTCCAGCCCTCAACACCTTATTTTAAAGATCCAATTTGTATTACTTTGCTCTTGTGTTCCAAACATTTTTGGACTTTCACTACCCTCCTGAAAAGCTTCTAATTACATCCCAAATAAAGGAGAACTTCATAGAAGTTTCAAAAGATTTCATTTAATGGACATTCTCTTTTCTAGATGTTTCATCTCTAATGAAATTTTTGCTTGAATTCTTTGCTCTAGTCCATTACATTTCCCAATGGTACTTGAATGTGACATTCCTGCTCCCCAACCCGGCCCTGGCCCAGGCAGTGCAATGTCCTTTTACTTCTCTGCTTAAATACCCGCCTTCAGAATGGCTTGATATTTACTTCCTTTAGGAAGCTTCTGCTGGAATCTGGACCACTAACAACTAACCAGCTGATCAGTACTCATAGCCTAGTTGTTTCTATGTGTTTAGCTAAGCTTCATCTGCACTTTAAAGTGTTTACTGTGCTAGAATGCAAAACGCTTACAAAAGTGAAGGCCAGACACCTGGCTCAAAGGAAATTTGACAGGATAGGGTGCATGTGGACTGTGCAATCAAACAGACTGGCCCAAGTTACTAAGAGCTCCTAACAGTGTAATCTGCAAAATGGGTTAATAATTACCTCCTGGAGTTGCAGAGGATTAAATGTATAGCAGTTGGCCCAGGGCTGGGAAATGGTAAATTTGACATCCGGCAGTAACACAATAACCACTGGAGTAAGACTGTAAGCCTCAATTTGAGATCTTTTGCTTTCCAAAGCAGAACTAGTTGTCTTTTTAATAAGGGAACACAGGAGAAAGTGATTTATTTGTTTAAAGTCTTGGGAAATGAGATCTTTCTTCTCACCTTTAAATATTACAACATATTAATTTTTGATTCTCTGAATAAATTAGGTAACCTCAAATTTATCTCACATTGAAATGCTAATTTTTAAAATACGTGCAAATTGCCTTTTTAATACCCTAAAAATTGAACTACCTGGCTATCTCTGTGGTTATCTTTTTCATTATACAAACTGTCTTTTGTCTTCTCATAAAAAAAAAAAAATAAAAGATGTGGTCCAATCTGAGAGTTAAGCCAATGCATGCAAAAAAATTCAATATATGGACACGTTCTCATGACAGAAAAACTGGCTGAATTCAGAAAGGAAAAGGACGACCTAGTCCATTTTAACTGTTGATGGAAAACATCCTTATATTATGTTGTTGGGGACCTGAAGGTGGAAAGAGTGTGCTTTTTAAAAAACGTTAACTAAAATGATGAGGCTCTGAAGGGCCCTACAGTATAATATGCTACCAAAGAAATCACAGTCTTCTGGGAAGGACGATAAATAGCAGAGGGTGGGGCTAGACCACAGGTGTCTGGTTTAACAGTTCACAGTTGAGGGTGGTAGGGAGTCTCAGAAAATTATAAAATGCTTCTGCTGAGCCAGTTCCCGGTAAGATTCCACCTACATACGCACTACTTAAATTTATCTTCCTACGTACTTGAGCCTAAGTGACCTGTCAGCAGAGGGTATCTGTGACAGTTGTTGACAATGGCCTTGCTTGCTTAGGATTGCGTGTGGGTGTCGAACATGGCACTTTAAACATAAATTTATGAGGTGCAAACTTTTAATGCAAAGATGACTCAAAGTTTCAGAATGTGTAAATATGAAGCACAATCTAACTTACACCATCGTTGGTGCTCACCCACAGTAAAACCAGGCTGTTTACCAAATTGTTTGGATTATCAGGACATTCATAAAATTTGCCACTCTTCATAAGTTGATGAGGAAAATTCTTGGGCTGAGGTCAACATTTGTATAGCACTACCATCTTATCTTGAACAAGTGTTATATTTATTTCATCTGCATTTTGGAACATGTTTGATGGCAGCATTCAATTAACTCTGAGTTTGTGAAGAAGTCATTTTTTTTGGAGAAGTTACACTGGAAAACTTAAATAGACAGCAGTTGTCTAATAAAGTAAAAAAATTAAATAGGCAATTTCTCACTGAAGTGTCTGGAATCAGGCAATAAGAATAAAATGGGAAAAAAAGAATACAATGGAAAAAGGATCATAACTAAACATTTCATGTTATGTTGAAAAAAAAACCCCTAAGATTAGTATTTTATGTGATTCATTTCTGTTCCTTGTTTGAGGGTTTTATCCAATTGCTATAAACATTTCCTTTAATTGAAGATGAACTTATAAAGACTAAACCTTTAACATTATTGGAGTAATATGTTGGAAGGAGATATTTAGTGGTCAGAAGAATAACCTTGGAAACTGTGACCAAATAGATACAACCAGGAGACCCAAAATTCAATAGGATGCTGTTTTAATACTTAAAAAATTTGTGGCCTTTAAAAGACAGGGAGAATATGAAAGAATAAAGAAATAAAAGAGCTTAGTTAACCAATTCTGTAAATAGAACCAATCACTGTTCATAGTTCCCTTAAAAGTGATTTGCTAAACTGATAAAGATTTGCAAGTTCAACTTAAAAAATAAATTTCTGATTAGCTTTTTCTGCATACAAAAAATAAAAAGACCTTCAAGGTATTTTTTTTTTAAATATTCATAGGTCAGTAGAAACGAAGTCAGAGGTTTTAAAGCTTTAACCGCTGCACACAAAAAGTAAAAAAAAATCCTAGCCTTAGCATTTAGTTTTTGATCACTTCTTTGTAAAATAAGAATAATCTTACAGAGTCAGTAAGGAAATAGTTAACAGTAAGTTGTTTGTTTTTTTTTTTAAGATTAAACATATTTACAATAAAAACAAATTTCTGGACATTGGATCATTCTTTTATTAATTTTGGAGGCCCATTTGAGAATCTCATTTATGAGGACACCCACAGATAATAATGAATAAATAAGCTTGGCTTCTCTGAAACAACACCCATGCACACCACTGGACCATAAGGTGGTTTTTAGTTGAATAGCAGCTACCATATTTGGTTATATGCTTTAAGCTTTTACAAACATAAAACATTTACTCAATTCTAACTTAGATGTTTACTACCAAATTCATTTCCTATAAGAGACAGATGTCCTAGTTTCATTAGGTTAATACCTTGATTTTCTTTTGAAGACTCAGTGCAGTATTAAGTGAAGTTACAAGCAAAAGAGGTATCGTGTCAGTAACTTTAATATTTGAGTAACCAAGTGAGCAGACTACAGGTGAGAAAATTCCTTGCATGCTTATTTAGGTTTTAAGTCTTAAATACCAACAACTATAATTGTAAACACACATTAGGTGCCAGTAGCCCCATAATCACCAAATCCTAAGCTTTTACCCAAGTGGTCTTACTAATTAAGGACAATGAAAAAGCACATTTCCCCCCTCTGCCTTTTGACAGGTTCAGTGGGACATCAAAAAGAATTCTTATCCTGGCAAGCAGATCTAACTGGCTAAGACTAATAATTTTTGAGTGGCCTCAAAGTGAAAGAAATGCACTACCACTATGTTTTTCTAGCACATCTCACTTCTTTCTGTTAACTATTCTAGTTCTGGCTGATCTCTTCTGCATCTCAGGCTAATGTTTGCTTTCACCTGTAAAGTGCCTACTACCACAATGCCTACTGAACACAGAATACACTTAAAATGTCAGCTCCTTATTCATTCCAAGTCTGTAACATTGAAATTTGTATTTTATCTGAGTGGTATTAGTTCCCATTCAACTAGGTATTGGATTCACAAAGGGCAAGGATCACACCTTACGTTTCCTCTGTGGCCTCCACCCTCACCCTACCATCTAGCACAGTGTTGGGACCCCATGAAGCGCTTCACTAATCTACCAAATGCATCAATTAAAACCTCACTGCAGGGGCGCCTGGGTGGCTCAGTCAGTTAAGCATCCGACTCTTGATTTCAGCTCAGGTCATGATCTCAGGGTCGTGAGATCGAGCCCCAAGTCAGGCTCCTCACTGGCCACGAAGCCTAATTAAATTCTCTCTCCCTCTCTCCCCCCAGCTCTCGATCTCACTCTCTCAAAAAACAAAAAAAAACTTCATTGCAAAGCTTTTGGTCATTCTCTACCATAGGTTAGCTCAATATCCTATAATTAGCTGTAATACTGAGGCCACATCACATTAACAGTTTACAAATATTAATATAAATGTTAAATCCTAATGTTCCTTTTATTAATTTAGTTGGTTAGATATGGTGGATAGCTTTTACAATGTCTTTGTAAACCTCTTTTAAGTGAGAATATAAACCAAACCCCATCCCCCGATAGACCAGAGTCAACTGAGTACCTGTTTGCCAAATAACTTTCTAGAAATGAAGGTAGCTGATAGTAATATTTTGTCCTAAGACTTAAGTCCTGGGCCCGGCCCCTTACAACCGAGCCCAGCCCAAATAATCGGAGAGGGGAGGCTAGTATCACCTACTGTGAAAAGTGCTTTGCAGAAAGTTATATACACATAAGTGTGTGAGGCACATAAAATCTTTATTGCCACAGGAAGCAAGTGCACTCGTCCCACCTCACCAACAGATTTAAGAGTCACAGAAACGCAGACTTCACATAATAAAGTACAACACAGACTTGGGGAGAAATGGTCCCTTGGACTATATTGGCTGTAATACTGAGGTAACCAATTGACCTTGTTCAGTGAAAATACCTCTAACACAATGAAAAAATCAACTAGTTATAACACCCAATTCATATATACAATTCAAATAAAAATATATATTATTTGCTTCAATGTATAGCAAATTTAATACATTAGTGTTTACAAAATAAAAACTGTATTCTACTGAAATTTTTCTTGTGCTTCCCCCTTATCATTAAGCTTGAAAGACCAGGAAAGTGTGATACTTAAGGAAACTTATTTATGGATTTAAAGATGCAGTTTGTGGGGCCATGAAAGACGGATAAATATTAACTGGAAGATTACCACATCTTTAAAAATTGTTGCTTATTAAAATCTACAAACTTGAACTGTAAGACACAATTAAAAAAAACCCACAAAATTTCTCAAAATAGATTAGAATACAGGAAACGTTTCATGAAACTACTGAGATACTAACCAGTTCTATGGCTAATATTAAAAACTGAACAATCTATTTAAATCGTACTCATACTATTTCTACACACAGTGAACAATACAACCACAATAATCAACCTTAAGCTAGCAACAAAGTTGCAAGGTCCATAAAAAGCTTCTTCAGTGGGCAAAACACTATGGTACAATTAAAACATTTAGGTAGGGAAAAGAGCCTTTCAATAGCATAAAAGTTGTTTACTGGTGTTTCTACTATAAAGCTATTCTACAAATCAAAATAAAAAAGCAATTATATATGTGACAGTGATCAGAGACTACAGTCCAGACATTTCATCTAACATTTGGCTGATGAATTTTAGTATAACAGATTATGACTTAATATTTTTTACAGTTATGACCTAGAGCAGAACTAAAAACAAAAAAACACCACATATTCCAACTCAGGATGCTGTTCTCAGCAATATCTGGGTTTAGATGAATCTGGAAGAAGCAGGTAAAGTTGTCAAATGTCTTCTCTTAACCAAAAAGAAAAAATGTAAATTGGTAGAAACGGTATTTTTTTTTAACTATGGATTCCAATGTGAAATTCTCATAAGTATGCAAGGACATTATTAACATTTAAGTACACCCCCATAAATATGCACGGAGCCCATTTATTAAATAGGGGGAAGGAATTAAAATATAAATGAATTTTAAGAAAAAACTGCATACACAAATATGAAAAGTATACAAAACTGTAAAATAAATAATGAATCCAGGTGTCAACTAGACCTCCACAGAATTATGCCTGCAAATGTGGAAGTAGTGATTGTCCACACTTGGATGGTCTGGATGGGAAGACATTCCCCAAGGGAGAGCCGCCTACTTTCTCTGACTCCATCCAGGACATCAAGAATTTCTAGATATAAAATGGTTCTTACTCTACTATATAATTATAGCCTTTTTAACAGTCACCATCCTTATCACATTTGGGGTTAACTTACTATGTCTTAATCTATTTAACACATTCTTAAACAGCAATGTTTAAGTCAACGGCTTTTACACATCAGTTCACCTGTTTCAAGTTCTCTGTCCAAGGAATAGCTTCCTATTTTTATTATGAGATAATGATATGATGCAACCCTCATCAACTAAGAGAGATTTTCTACTCTATTGCTCATTTTTTAACTTTACTTTAGTATTTATTAATTGCATAAATGCGCCTGACTGAGCCAGCAAAAGTGACATTTTACTACTAAAAATGACACATTTCCTGTTAAACAAAATCAGTTTTATCCAATATTAAATCCACAATATTTTCCTTGGTTTAAATTGAGCATTTGCTTTCCATTTTTTTCAAAGTCACTGCAACCTTGCCAGTAACTACATCACTTAAACTTTCTTTACGACTGCAAAGATTCTAAACTCTAACATATAATAATATTTATGCTAAACACACTTAAAGTAGACAGTGAAGTTTCAAGTAAAATAAAACTGTATCCACATTTATTGGACCAAACATGTCTCCACATCTAGATTTTACTTCTATAAATTACACAAATACATCGTACATTCTTAAATAATGAATGCTTACAATATTAATTTGTAAGCTTTTCCACATAAAACAACTTACACAGGAATATGAATGGATCAGTATTTCTGTTACAGACTGCAACATTCTCTCAATTTTCTCTTTTGTGGCTGTTGTTTTGTCTTCCTGGTTTCCGCAGACTACGAATCAGTCCTTATGCTTTGGCTATGAAATCTGTTTGAGCTGAATGAGGCAACGTTGGTTATTAAGGCTTATTTCTATGATGGAGCATTATCCTTAAATTGAGTGCCATTTCCAGAGAACAGTGGGAGAATCACAGCTATCTTGAATCTTCAGGCTCTGTTTTGATGACTTTCTTTTCTAAAGTAAAAGCTGAGTGAGGGTAGTCTTTTAAAATCCCAAGATTCTCTGCATAAAAATGAAAACACAAAGTGTGTTGATACTTTAAATCAATGGATCACAAAACACAAATTCCAACTCATGAAACAAACCCCCAAACTCCGTAGCAAACAGTATCAACTATTCATAATTCTGTAATTCCATACAAAAATTTTATGTTTATAGAGTTGCAGTTACGAGCTTGGATTCTGGATTTAAATTCCATCTCTGCCAATTACTAGCTGTGTACATCTCCAGGCAACTTACATATCTCTCTAGGCCTTAATGTCTTTCTTCTTCTATAAAATGGGGATAGTATCTATATAGGCTGGCATGAGAGTTAAATCATGAAAGGCACAAAAAAACACTTAGCATATAGACCATGTTTTTCTTTAATGCTTGGTTCAGCATGATAAAAAAATATGTAAAATAAAACTGGTCATGCATCGACAACAAAGTTACTAGCTAAAATATTTAATTACTATCAGTAAAAAATGACACAGAAAACATTTTCAATGTTCAAACATGGAACTCTTATTAAAAGTTCTAGCCACGAAACGTTAGGGCGGGAGAAATGGGGATCAAAGAATGAAGACTACTTTCATAAGGATTCATTTCTTGGAGTTATGTGAGTACAGTTATTTCAACCTCACAAAAACACTGCAGAATGACAATAAAATGTAATACTTATGTAAAGTACTAATACTGGAAGATACATTATCCACACACACGTCTGCATACACACGTACACTTTGAAAAGGATTCTAAATGTGTAACCAAAACTAATAGCTTATCTGAAATTAAGCAGTTCCATTTATGAATTTACTCTCGGCAAAATTTAGCAAGAGTCTAAAAATAGTAGCTACCATTTACTGAATTCCTATCAGCTAGGCAATTCATATGTGCTACCTTGTTTAATACTCGTAACTATTCTACACAGTAGAAATTATGTCTGTTTTACAGATGAAGCAACAGCGTTCAAGTGACTCCTAAAGATGGAATGATACCAGATACTTTTTTTTTAAGACTTTTATTTATTTGACAGGGAGAGACACAGCGAGAGAGGGAACATAAGCAGGGGACGTGGGAGAGGGAGAAGCAGGCTTCCCGCAGAGCAGGGAGCCCGATGCAGGGCTCGATCCCAGGACCCCGGGACCATGACCTGAGCCGAAGGCAGATGCCTAACGACTGAGCCACTCAGGCGCCCCAATACCAGATACTTCCAAATGGTGCTGCTCTCTGCAGTGCTGCTCTCTAATACTTTGTCTAACTCACTTTTTCTTGGGGAAAAATGGTCAAATATCGAACTATAATAAGGAACAGCTTATCCTTTTATGGAGTTGTTTACTTCTGAAATATAAATATCATCCCCAAAATGCATCTGCAAGAAAAGTTTAGATTTTGGTATACAAGGTTGTCTTAGTGTGAGAGCAAACATGTAATCTATCAATTTCACAGTATGAAAGGCTGGAAAAAGGCAATTACATGACTCAAATCAGCCATGTATTATTTGGTTTAAAATTTTATATGAAAGGCACCATTTGTGTAATAGCTAATCAAAATAGTATCATCCTTCATGAGTTTTTTCCCTGTCAATTCTTTGGAATACCATGTTCTAAAAAGGACTGGCCATTATTATGGCAATCTATTATTTCCAAGGGGAAAAAAACTGACTAGTAACATTGTTAGTAATGACCCTTTTTTTTGGCTGGGAGTCGGGGGAAGGAGGAGTGGAGATAGTGGGAGGTCAGAAAATAGAATTTAAAGATGTCTTATTCAAGTGTCACTCTCTCTAATCACATCCCATATTCTTACCCGACTGGGACTTCGCCTCACTGGAGTAAAGTCTACTCAGCTCTCCATCCACCACAAAATGATGGGGCTGTCTGTTCTGTAAATTAGGCATTCGGAGATTCAAAGGTCTTTCTCCTAAAGAAAAGGGAAAAAAAAGCAATCTGATTAATATTAAAAACACACTACGATTTTTCTTAAAAATAAGTTTTCACAAATTGCCTGAACACTCCTTAGGAAAGGAGTAAGGAAAAGCCAACAGGCAGTGAAGAATTTAAATAAAAGCTAGAGAAGTATTTTAAATAATAATTTAAGAAGGAAATGGCAATTCATGCTAGTTCCAAGGTTTACAATTCTCCCAGGACATTTTTCAGAGTGAAACATGAACTAAACAAAAGACTGAGATTTCCAGTTAGTACTCCAACTCTGACATAGAATACATCCCCTCTGTAAGGCATTTTCTTACCAGTGCAGAGCTTACCAAGACATTAACACATAGTAACAAGTACTAGAGAGACAGAGTTGGCTTCAAGCAATTGCCTATTACTAAACAACAAAACCTATGGCAAATCATGAAGACAGAAATAGCACAGATATGGTAAAAACACTTTATATGCCAAATCACCTTCTCTGTCATAAACCTAAATCCACACACTTAGCACACTGCCACCCCACATGACATTATCCTGGTTTCACAAATTAGAGTCATCTAGTCTTTCATTAATTTTACTTTTGCTTCTTAACTCTTAACTGTCAACGATGACTAGAGAAGTTAAACAAGACCTCAACTAAACAGTTTCTGTAATATTTTTAAAAAGGAAGAATGCGTTTCTCCTCCAGCACTCTGATCTGAGGACATATTTTACCCTACACTTGGAGAATGCTTGTAAAGATAGTATTCTCACTTAGAAAGAAATCTGTTTTTTTTTTTTTTTTGACAATGATAGCCACTCTCTAGAAAAGTTTAACAGTAATATGTAAAACAAGAAGGTCCTACACAAAATTGTTTTTCTTCAAACACACATCACTACTTGAAACTGGAGGATATATTTCTATATTATATACTGTGCATCTTCTTCTACTAGAGTGTAAGCTCCAAGCCAGCAGGGACTTAACGTCCCTGATCCATCTGTGGTGCCTAGAAGCATGCCTGGCACACTGGAAGAGACTATGAGTAAATGACAATGACTTGAGATTTTCTTCATTTGTCAATACAAAAAAATGAAAATAATTTTTTAAATGATAAAAATATTCATGAATCACAGCTTTCTAAACTTAAGAGTTTAAACAGTTTCCAACGTACCACACCAAATATAGTTTCATAGGGACTGTAGGCCAACCTAAAGCCTGAAAGAACACAAAATTTCTGCAAGTCTCTCCATTCTTACACCATCTCTACAAACCTCTCTACTCTTGTCACAGTACTTTAGAAGCGGTTACTGTATTCTCGTAGGGACCAAATGTTAGAAACTTCATAGACAAATTTGTTTTTGAAATCAAAGAAAATATGAAGCTGTGATCTTTTAAAAACTAAGAAACGTCTCCCATGGCATCAGTTTCTTTGGGGAAAAGGATCTATACTGTTTACACGTCCCATTCCCACTCACCCTGTACAAAATACGGGTCAACTGCACGTGTCAACTAGTTTAGGGATAATAAGGTAAAAAAGCAAACAAACGTACAAACAAAAAAACCCCAAAACTTTTGCTAGTTGAATCTGCAGGATGAATCCTTTCCTTTTTTTGAAAAAGAGACAACTGAAAAACGAATTTTTATAGGGAATGTATAACATAATCTCTATAAAATATCAGGATTTAAAAATAAGCCAACTTTTGTTTCTCTGTACAGTGCACAGAGTCACTGGCTCACAAAGCGCAGGCCATCTAAGATCCACCTTGCCCCTCCGAGTTGTCAGAAGCCACGCCGTTCGGGCTGTGCTCTTCTGAGGCCTGCCTGTAGAGTCCTGCTGAGAGCCTCCTCTCAGCATGCTGCAGTCTCTCATAGCCAGCTGGGGTGCAAAGGAACTCCATCTGCTTTGCCATCACCTTTTCAGGCTGCTAGTAAGTAAAGCAAAAATAAAATCAGGAACTAAAACATTCTACAGTTTTTTTAATGGTTTAAAGATGCCAATTTCAGACTCCAGCAAATATATTTAGTATTCATTAAATTAGTTCACACTTCATGTGGTATACACGTTCCATAAATACGCTTAGATGTCTATATCATCATGTTAAAACATAAAATGTTGGATTCTGTGCAAGAGAAAAAAAAAAAAACCCTCCTGCTGATCCTTTAAAGAGAATTCCATTTCAGCTCAAAGGCAAAATAACCTTAGCTTTGTTTCCCGAAGTACTGAGTCCTTTAAAATATTTTTTTTAAAAAGAACCTCAGAGCAACAGCAACATCTGCCACAAACTGCTTCTAACACACAGGGTGAAATCTTGGCATTTTTATTTTAGGATTTGGCACTACACATACTCTGATAGGATGACAGTATGTTGGGGGAGAAAAGGTGTAAAATGGCTGTCTAGAGGGACAAGTCAAACACCCCTCCCACCAAAATCAAACAATGCAAATTACAAAGGAAAAACACCAGTGCCAACGAGACTCTTGCCCTTCATCATGGAATGAAACTGCAGTATTTCCCAACCAATCATAGAAAGACACGTTTAAAATACACAAGTAAATAGAAATTCATCTTTGCATGTGTTTTGTAAGTTCCTTCTTTATGTACTGCTCTAAATCACTTATCTGTGATATTCAAATCAGTGCATTTGTGATATTTTGCCAAGGAGGTTAATAGTCAAAATGCAGATATGAATCACTGCATGCCATATAAAAGAGTAGTACAAGGAAGGTGCTCTATAAAATTAGTTACAAAAAATCCTGATTCACAATAGTAAAAATCAATAAGTGAAAAATACTAATTCATGGAATAGGATAAAAGCTTACACTATTTTTCTGAATGCACATAAACCAGATCAAAAGGAGCTGTAATTTCAATTCATTTGAACTTAAATAATTGAATCAGAAGCATCTAAAGCAATTCATCTGAACTTACATAAAATGTCAGTAAGATTTCTAAGGAGGAAGTATATTTTTCATCCTCCTAAGAAGAAAAAAACAAAACTTGGCACTACTGAATTTGACCAAGAGCAGTCGCCAGGCAGAAGATCAAGAGGAATAAAACTTACAGTGCTAAAAGGTGGTATTTGTAGAAATGACTTTTTAAAAGTAATTTCAGGATACAACAATTAAATAATAGCAAAAGCCCCTGAAGATACATATTAAGGTAAGAATTTTTTCTCATACATGAATCAAAATGACTTAACGATAGCTACAATGCCAATGAATAATGTTTTATTGAGAACTAGTACTATTTTATCTCAGAGTTGTATTACACACAGCCATTGTCAACATGGCTTTCTTCCTGGTATCAAATTGCTTCTTTTAAGTTTTCTTAAGTAGAGAATTTTTCTTCCTACAAAACTAAAAAGAATAAATAAGTATTACTATATCAGATTCTGCTCATAACCAAATCAAACTATGTTGTTATTGCTATCCTGTTGATACAGCTGTGGATCAGATGACATTTCAAAAACAACCAGAAATAAACCCCGCCCTCAGATGCTTAAAACTGAAGCTAGCTGAAGCACCCATTTATTTTTCAATCTACAGATATTATTATGAAATGTTAACTGGTGGTTTACGTCACCTGTGAACTGAGAGCAGTGAGTTCTTCACTCTTAGCCTTAGCCTGCTGGAAGAGCGTTTGCACGGAGTCCTGGAAATCTGGAAATCCATCCTATGCGTCAAAGAATAAGTCCTTTTTACTTAGAGTTTGTAAATAAAATATCAACAACTCAGAAAACAGGGCAAAAAAACCCGCTTTAATCCTACTGCCCAAGTAATCATGATTAAGATTTTAATGTACAATACTTCCTTCCTTTCAGTCTTTTATGGTACAATTACCTTATTTCTACAGTTGTAACCTCACCAAAAATATAAATGAAAAAGATAATAAGACTTACACATCTACATGAGAATGTAGACTTCATGAGCATTAATAGTGGTTATATAACGTTTCATACAGCATTTCATCTAGTGGTTCAACTAATAATAATCACTATTTTCACATCGGACATTTAGATTCTTTTTCTTATTTTTGGGTTGAAAAACACTGCAAAAGTATTTTCATAGAAATAGCATTTTCCATAGCTTAGATTACCTAGTACAGTAGATTCCTAGTACAATTACTGCAAAGGGATGAACATTTTTATGAATATTCACTACTTCCCCTAAGAGCCTTTACTGGTTAATCAGACCGTAAGTTTTTCTTGCCAGCACTGAGTGCTGTTTTTTTCTTAATTGAATTGGTATTCAAAAATTTTTTAATTTTGTATATTGTAGTTGTATATACTCCTATTTTGTAAATTCTTCTATCACTACAAGCTTCAGAAAGGCATTCTTTAGAGATTTGATAAATGCTCAAATCTACCCTCTAGTATTTTAAAGCTTTACCTTGTCTGCTTTGTTTTTTAAATTTAACTCTCTAACCCATCAGGAATTTATTTTGTTATATGTAATGTGATAAAGAACCAATGTAAATTTTCTTCAAAGTGCTACCCAATGATCCCAACCTGAATTTCTGAAGAATTCTTCCACGCTGATTTGTCATTTCTCCTTCCAACATTTCATATGACAGGCAATGGGGATCAGAATTAGAACGACCTGCACTCGGGGAACCTGCGTGGCTCAGTTGGTTAAGCAGCCAACTCTTGATTTCAGCTCAGGTCATGATCTCAGGGTCACGGGATCGAGCCCTGCGTCAGGCTCCCTGCTCAGCAGGGAGTCTGCTTCAGGACTCTCTCTCTTTCCCTCCCTCTCCCTGTCCCCCCACCGCTTGCTCACACACACACACACACTCTCTCTCTCTCAAATAAATAAATCTTAAAAAAGAGGAAGAAGAAAGGAAGAAAGACCTGCACTCATGTTCCAATTCTACCACTTACTAGTTAACACTGGAGAAGTAACTCAACCTTTCAGAACATTAGTCTCCTCATATGAGAAATACAGAGAACAGCATCTATCTGTTAGGGTTGTTGTGAGAAGCAGATAAGAGACGGCCTTTAGCATGTACTCACTGCTAAGTAAGTGTATCAATACATACTAACTTCTTACATTAAACAGAGCTTACTTGGGGCACTCTCCTCCTGGACAATACATCAACTTAAATGATTTTCATTCTATACTTTATATATATAAGAGCCACTCCATCTACTACTTTTTACAGGTTGTTATGTGGTTTTTTTGCTCATTTATTGCTTCACATGAAATTTATATCGACAAACATCACAACAGTGTTGTTTTAGCAACTTTACTAAAAACCATTAAAGGACTCCTCACAGAAATGGTCACTGACCTCCAAAATATTTCTCCCCTAGTTTCATGAGCTATATATTTGTAGCAAAGGGTAAATCACTAAAAACCAAAGCTCTTATACTAACATAGCAGAAAGAGATGTAATAATAACAAAATATTTTATCTTATTTGAAATAAGAGATACTGATTCAAGAGTTTCTCCCCCATCAGGGTCTTATTTCTCCACTGTGGATCTCTTGTTTTCAAAGATTTCCTCTACCAAAATTCATTTCTTAAGTAATAATTTGCCATTTTTAAATTCAAAGACATGAAATGAAATAGAGTCAGGGCAAATAAATTTGACATCTTGAGATAGTCTTATGTAGCTTTATGGTGGGCCAACATACAATCAGCATTTACTTATTTATTTATTTGAGAGAGTGTGTGTGTGCGTGCACTAGAGAGCAAGCACGAGCAGGGGGAGGGGCAGAAGGAGAAGCAGACCCCCAGCTGAGCAGGGAGCCCAACGTGGGGATCCCAGGACCCTGGGATCACAACCCCAGCCAAAGGCAGACACCCAACCAACTGAGCCACCCAAGCACCCCAAACAGCATTTTTAAAGTATTGAAAATAGTTACCTTTCTAGGCCCCCACAAGACCAAGGACCTTTGACTCAGAGGAATGTATGGAATATAATCATTAACTGAGCTAGTATGAACTTTATACACATGGATACAATCTAAATCTAAGTGAAAAGGACACTTGTTTAGTCATTCCATGTTTCTCTAAGAACTTATTTAGACCTACAAATCTAACTTTCTCTTTAGCAGTCTCTCCTTTAAGTGAAGAGCACCTATCTGTTAGGGTTGTTCAACGAGGGAAGCTAGGAGAACACTTGGAAAAGCAGAGAAGCTATCATTTTCCAGGTGACTACCATGTACCCCCAGTTCCCAACTATGTTCTGTGTTTTACACTTATCATCTAATTTAATCCCCACCATAGACAACCCTAGGTTCCTCCCATTTTACTGCTATGGACACTGGCTTCAAAGCCTCTGCTCAAACTATAAAATCCCAGAGTTACCGAATTTATAAAACTCACAGCAGGAAACAGAGGCACACCTCTTACAGCTCGATTTTTCATAAGCTGAACTGGTTTAACTCTATGATTTACACTAAGTTCAAAACCCAATTCTACTACTTATTTACTGTGATACTGGACAGACTATTTCATCTTTCTGTGTCTACTCAACTAACTTTAGAACCATTTTAAGGAACCAAAAAATTCATGAAGAACACTTAGCACAATGCTTGGCACATAGATATTACCCAATAAATGTTTGCTACTGATATTTATTAAGTTCCCCTTTAAAGCTACCAGATTTAGGGGCGCCTGGGTGGCTCAGTCATTAGGCGTCTGCCTTCAGCTCAGGTCATGATCCCAGGGAACTGGTCAGTGGGGAGCCTGCTTCTCCCTCTCCCACTCCCCCTGCTCGTGTTCCCTCTCTCGCTGTGTCTCTGTCAAATAAATAAATAAAATCTAAAAAATAATAATAACAAAGCTACCAGATTTAATCATAGTAAAATAGATAGCATGCTATAAGTGACCTACTGCATCTCTATGATACAGGGGGAATAAGATAAATTTCAGGGATATTTACGTAGTATAGCTATCTTAGAGATTACTTACATAGTATAAGACATCTTGGGTATTTAACACTAAAACGAGCAAGAAAATTTTGACCATATTGGTAAGGAACAGTTCTACTGGAAAGAACAACGGAAATCTGGAAATACTTGTTTATTCACTCATCAAAAATCTCTCATTTGCCTAATAGGTTCTAGATTCTGTACTCAATGCTGGGTAGTCAATGACTCCTGCCCTTCTGACAAACAATCTAGAGAGAGAAAAGGACAAGGAGATCCAGAGCATAGTGGAGGACAGTGTGTCAGGAAGTCTTCTAAGAGGGCAAGATGTCTAGGCTGAGACTTGAAAGAAGAGGATTCTCTAGGGAAAGAGAGCAGCATATAAAAGCCAGAGGCAAAAAGAACAGGACAACACACCTGAGAAGCTGGAGAATATTTAATATAGCTAACAGAGGGAATATACTGAGAAAGAGGGAGCGGTGAGAGAAGTTGGATATGCGGGGCCAAATTCTGAGAGACCTTGTAAGCCATGTTAAGAATTGTCGATTTTTATCTTAAATTCAAAGAGAAGCCACTGCAGGTCTCAGGGAAGAAACGAACCAGATCTGCATTTCTGAAAACCCAATCTGAACGTGCGGGGGACAATATATAGTTCCGGCTTTTCAACGAGCCCTGGGTGAAGTGTGCCCAGGCCAGAACCTCCAATATGCCAGGGCTGTTTTCAAAGGAATTTACAGAAGAAAGAGCGATCTAGTCTTCTGTGTCAAGAACTAGATGTGTGATCCCAGGCAGGAAAGTTAACCTCATTATTTCCAGTGTTCCCAATTTTTAAATAGAGATTAAACGATCTGCTTTATCCACCCATTGGAGATTCATGGGGATTAAATGCAGTAATGCAAATGGTAACTCTTGGAAAAGTGCACATTGCTATACAAACATATGGTGGCACCACTGTCAGGATTATTTAACCATGAGAATATGGAAAAGCTGAAAGGGGGAACTTCAAAATCTACATGTGAAAGTTTTTGGGAAACGGACACTGCTCCTCATTAATAAAGAGAAGTAAAAACATGCAAAGAGCAATAAACTACCATATCCAACTAATCGGTGATCTCTCTGAAACCGAGTACATGAGTCATTCTGATTTGCTCCCACAGTCTTTGATGGTTCATTACGGGCAAACTACAGGACTGAGTAGCTATCACTTCATGACCTATGTTTTCAGGTATCCAAAACATATGGCTTAGAAAGAAGAGTGAGAACATTCCCAAGAAACTGGTCTCTTTAACATGATGTTTGGTGCAGGACTTTTGTTATATGTCTCTCAAGCTTTTTTCCCAAGAACCAGCTGTACCATGCTATGATTTATCTTCATGTCATATTCTTGGCTACTGCCATTAATCACAGTGTTCCCTTACTGGTGAGATCCTGATTCTGAGCACTGAGAAAATGAAAGACACAGGGTGGGATGCTGTTCATGACCTAATTACTCTCATCCCATTGGTCTCCACCCCCATTCCTCCTCAACCTTGCCCCCAAATACCAGCAAGCTGCTTTAAGCTACTGCTTAGCTGTCTTTAAAATGGCTTGTTCCAGCAGATGTTCTCAGCCTCACACGTGCATTTTCTTTTCTTTTCTTTTACTCACACTTTCTATATGAATAGCAGATTGTAATGCTTCTGTTTTTCTGATCCAGAGGGGAAGAGTCTACATCAAATTAGAGCAGCTTTCTTTCAACAAGCTTGGTAACAGCGTAGGTGGATGTTCTGACCCTTTTCCCTCCCCCTGCCTCCCCACC